AGGAGTGCCATTACCAAACTGCGCCGGTCCCAGGCAGCCATCGGCATGTCAGAGTCACAACACGCCTTTGTAACTCCACTCAGTGAAGAAGCTGGTAGTGACAAGCAGCGCTGGTGCTAGGCAATGCAGTAGCCAGAAAAGGCAACAGATTGCCAAGGACAGCAAAACAGGTGACCTAACTGCTGCTTTACTGATGGCATATCCTTGAAAAAAGGCTACAGGCTGCTGCTGCGGACAACGAGGGATTCTTTTACTCCCTACAAATAGATCCTTTTTCCTTCCTGTCCCTCCGCTTCTCTTGGCTCTGCTCTTACTGTTCAAGTCCTTTCCCTGTTCCCAACGTTGTTCCTTCTCCTCTGCGTTTAAAATTTTCAATAAACCTGCAGCAGAAGTGCTGAAATCACAGGCAAGGCACCTTCTTTCGGCTTTGATACAAAAAGGATCTTTGAAGAATAATTCTGTCAGGCTCTCAGAAGTAAGTGCGAATTTGATTCTTCAGAGGTATAATTCAACTGTAAGCCTGTATGTGTTCACAGGAATAGCAGAAAGTACCTCCTTGACATCATGGCAGCATCTCTTTTCAAACTGAAATTTCTTAGTTCAAAGCCTGGAAATGCGAGAGCATCTCAGTGAAACGAAGGTAAACATGTTTACAACACATTTTTCCCCTTGTTCTACACTAGAACAAAGACATTCCTCCCCCAATCAAAAAAAAAAAAAAAAAAAAAAAAAAGGCAAGTCCAAAAGCCCAGAGGCTGAAAACCTGGGGTCAACATACCAGTGTGGCAGGGTACTGAAGAGGAAGAGTTAAGCAAGTTCGCTGCTACAAGCTCCGTTTTCTGTAAAATGGAGTCTGGTAACCATCTAAATGAGGTTTGAAAAGTTGTGGCAAGCCCCACCTATCTGATTTTGAAGACAGACAACATTTGCACCAGCAGATCGGCGACTAAATGAATGTGCATTTTGGTTCTAGGATTGCTCAGTAATTCTGCCAAATATAGCAAGACTGCAAACCATGATCTTCTGTGAATGCCTCGCACACACGACAAAGATGCTGAGCTACACAGAGCCAAAGGCATCCAAGTCAGACTCACCCAGAGAGAGGGGATCCCAGAACTAACTTCAATCTGCATTAAGGTCAGTAACTGCTGGATCCAGATATGGTCCTGTATCGAGCCATCAGACTACTATTTAAATGCTCTTTCTAAACGGTTATTGCTGTTCGTTTGCAACACTTCAAAACTTACTGTAATTTAATATATCTACAGCTCCTATACTACATTTCCCACAGTAACAACTAAAATACTCAGACTCCTGCACATGATGCCTCCCAAGATTTCTTCTAATTGAGGGACCGCTCTAGTAGTTTACTGAGAAAGAAAGTATGTGGGCCAGAAGGCATACCAAAAATCATGGAAAACCACAAAAATCAGGGCTTCAAAGGATGTCAAGAACTCAGCTTCCAGTTCAATGGTGTTTTAAGATTACATTAGTAAAGCAGGCGAGTTTCAGTTTATGTCCATAGCACCATCATACCACCTTCCAAGTTGCAACACTTTTTTGATGACGTATCCTTTGCACTTTCCCAGTACAAGAGAGACATGGAGCTACTGAAGAGAGTCCAGCAAAGGGCCATGAAAATGTTTAAGGGACTAGATCATCTCTCAGCCAAGAAAAAGCTGAGAGAGCTGGGTCTGTTTAGCCTGGAGAAGAGAAGGCTCAGGGCAATCTTATCAATGTATAGAGATACCTGAAGGGAGGGTGCAAAGAAAACAGAGCCAGGCTCTCCTCAGTGGTGCTCAGTGACAGGACAAGAGGCAGTGGGCACAAAGTGAAGCAGAAGGTTACCTCTGAACATCAGGAAACACTTTTTCATTGTGAGGGTGACTGAGCACTGGCACAAGTCGCCCTGAGAGGCTGCAGAGTCTCCCACCTCAAAGATATTCAAAAGCCATCTGGACACAGTCCTGGGCAACCACCTTTAGGTGGCCCTGCTTAAGCCAAGGGTTGGACTAGATGACCTCCAGAGGTCTCTTCAAACCTCAACCATTCTGTGAGTCTGTGAACTAACACAGGGATATCCCTTTTTATCCCTAACGATCTGAAAAGTTCAGAAAAAAACTATAACCTCCAAAGAAGTCTTCACAACATCTTTACAGTAATGTAAGACCTCATCCCTCTCCTCCTCCTTCTCAAAGAAGCTATGAAAAACACAGAAACCTGCTAATGCTTTGTACTCACTGAGCCCAGTGTCCATCAAAAATAAAATAAGAGGAAATATTCATTTGACTTGCTTCCAAGAAAGCAATTAGATGAAGCAAATATGTTGAATAAAGTATTTTACTGGCACGATGACTAAGAGATGAAGAACAGTTATTGATCCATTGTCTTGGACCTAAACAGCTCAAATCATATCAACTACCTGAGCTTTAAAATTAACTCAATCCTCTGTCCAGGCCTCAGGACCACTCAGCCTCTTTCAAAGTACCTTTGTGGGACCTTAGTAAGCATGAATTAATTAGTTAGAAAAGACTTTTCTGAGTCTCAGGTAGATCTGCCAGTTTATCCCAGATTTGCTTCTACTACCTGGTGACCAAAACAGAGGACACTCATGGGAGGATACATCCCGGAACTTCATGGCCCAGCTAAAAAAAATTCAAGCCCAAAAAGCTGAGCGAGTGTCAGAAAATCCTCTTGCCTCAACGAATTGTTGCCATTGGAGCCTATGGCATCATGCTTATAACACAACAGGCAGAAACCCATCACTCGACAAAGCCCTGCTGGGGTTTTTTTACGGCTTTTGTTTCTGAACATATTCTGAATCTCAACAAACCAGTTATTCATGAACAAACACCTTGCTTTTCACCAAGCTTTTTAGGGTTACAATGCCTGTATAAGTATTAAATTTACTGCTCTATATTATCTTCTCTCCTCTCTGTGTTCCACAGAAATGGAACAAAACTAAAATAGAAAAGTTATCATAGGGTAAGCCACAACAGACACCATACATCAGCAGTCACTGCCTAGATACACACCATACTATAAATGCAAGGTAACTTGAGCAAGTTTATCCTTCAGTGAAAGAGGAATAGTCTGACTGGCTTTGCTGAAGAGGACGAACGCGGAACAGGAGCAGTTACCTTGGAAAAGGTACCAGACTAAGCTCACACTCTTGTCTGCTCACCAGGTAACACCTTCGTGTTTCCACACCCTAAAGCAGAATTTAGGATGCACACACTGGAGTAGGCATTTCGTTGTGCAGCCACTTTCAGTCAGTAACTAGTCTTTAGATAAAAGAGTTTAGAACAGCTTAGACCTCAAATTAAAAGACAAAATACAGCAAATATGCATGACAGTCAGAAAAAGAGGAGTTCCAGTGAAAAAACAAAGGTCTCTCCTGAGTAGGGTAGAAAACTGTGTATGACATTTTCTAAACATTTAAGTTCTTTAACTTATTGTTTGAAAGTATCTTCTCTGTCGTGAGTACCCTCTCTCCACTATCTCAGAGGTCTTAGAAGTATCATTTTGAATTACAAGCATACACTAAAAAAAGGAGCTTAGATCATCTCTATTTAACTGAAGTGTTAAAGAATTATTAAAAGGCTGAGTTAATTATTAAAAGGCTGAGTTCCAAGACTTTCCCTCTGGACAAGACCACTTGCTGTAAGCCCGACCAGAAGGCAAGAGCTGTGGGGAGAGGAAATGAGTTATCTTGAAGAGGAGATGCTCCTGAGATGGGAGGAAACCAGCACACACTCCCTCCTTCTGCAAACCCGCCCAGTGGTTAGAACACTTCTTTTATCCAGCTCATTTGTGTTGCCTTTCTCAAGCTTTTGGACAAACGAGGGACAGCCCTACACCTGAGGACACACAGCAACAAAAGAAATCCTGCAATACGACCAGCGTTCAAAGGCCTTTGCTTGCCTGCTGCACACAAGAAATAGGCTCCCCACCTCCCTGGGCGACAACTGACTGCTAGGATTGACAAAAGATTTTACTCTTATTAGTCAAAACCACAATATTGTACAATACACTGTCATACCAGAGACTGCAAAGGTTTAGAAATGCTTGCCATTTGTTTCAACCTCAGTGTTAACGGAGAGCGTTGTGGGTTTTTTAAGCTTACTTTTCTGGGAAACCACACCACACACTCAGACTGTCTTGCCTTTCCCTTCGCCCCAGACCCAAAGGAGGCTCCATAGAGGCTGAGTGCACCTTACTGGCAGAGCGGTAAAACTCAGCAGTCTAGACAAACTGAGCACCATTTAACAAAGAGACAGTAATCTCAAAAGGCTTTTGGATTTCTTACTGCATGAAGAAGAGCAGGGTGAAGCTCACAGAAGTGAGGACTACTCTGCTTGCACAGAGTAGTCTACACATCAAAAAAAGACCCAACCACATGCAAGACAAACTTTATGAATGCCCCAATACTGGACAGACTTCACTTGGAGCTTCCCTTTCCTCAGGCAACCAAGTCATTAGGCATAAAACACAAATTCACATGCTTCCTAACAAACACTGTGAAGATTTAATTCAAACATATACTACAGGCTGCAAGAGCCAGCGTTTATTCTTTTTGATTTATAGTATTTTCTGTTTGTGAAATAGCCTCTTATTCAGACTTTATCTTCCTATTGCAGTGATGTCACATTCTTCATTACTTTTTTTTTCCTCTCATTATTACGCTTGATACACTTCTAGTAGTGAAACAGATTCTCCTTTCTAATTAGGCCTAGCAATTAATAACTGAAATTGAACTGATGATGATACGGTTTTGCTAAACAAATAACCGAAGCTGAAATCAGAGTTCAGCATTTCCATAAATCAGCGTTGACATCAGCTTATTTTGAACTTTAAGGCTATGCTGAGTTAAAAAGAAAAGCAAAATAATTAAAATATTTCTCATTTATTTGGCTGCTCCTTACACACTAGAAACCAGTCCCTCAAACAGCTGACTCTGCTTGTCACTGAATTTGGGACTTATTAAGCAATCAACTAACCTTAGAGGATTTTCTTCGGCTTCTTCTTGTCCAAACCACCACTAGTTTATCTGGCTGCCTGTTGAAGATAAGGAAGAAACAGCTTAATTTACAACAAGATCAATATGTAAACAGTTTATATTAAAACTCTTGCAATACATAATGACATCCTTAGTGTACATTATCTCTTAAAAATAGCTCATCTAAAAACCACTCTCAGCATCAGTCATTTCACAGGAAAAATAATGCTGTTTTTAGAAAAAGGCTGTCCTCCAATCTGCACATTAATGTCATCCTTCTCCTCCTGCTCTCCTTGCCTGCAGGCATCTCCCCAGAGCTAGCATCATCCTTGAGAAGAAACTCTTCCATGGGACAGAGAAGAGGATCCAGCCTCTTTAAAGACACCTTGGAAACAATCCAGTATCCAAAATAAACATCAATGCAAATCTAGTTTGAATTTCAAAGCAGACATATTGAAAAGGTAGCAAAGAAAACAGGCAATCTCACTTTTTCCCACTCCCAAAGGATTTTTTTTTCTCCTACTTGAATACCTCAAACAAGAGAATTGAGTCCTGTATTACTCCTCAAATTCTCCTTGGATGGCCACCGACAGATCAACGAGCTCTTTCTCAACTTTCGCTCAGAAGCACAAGCATGCCGTAATTCAGCATGGCTCTTTAATAAATAATAATGAAATATAATAATAATTAGAATAATAATTATCTCTCAAATAATTATTTGGTATTTCTAATGAACGTCGATGGAAACTCTCAATAAAGGGCACTTCCAGTACAAACTATCTTCTCTTTAAATTTCTCAAGACTTATTTCTTGGTTAATAGTTACAGCCTTGTTACTTCTATCTTATTAGTTTAACAATTGTTGGAGTGATTTTTGATATTGACCTAACTTTTCAGGCTTTTCTTTTTTTTTTTTCTTTTTTTTTTGGGGGCCATGATACACTTCCCATCATATGACTACACTTCTGGTCCCACTTCCAGACCCATGACCCCTCTTTTCAGAGACTCCTGACCCTCCATTCCAGCTTTGTTTCCTAGCTGATGACCCAGCTCCCATCAGCAACCCTGACTGCAAATCCACCCACAAACATTTTTCATGGGAGTTCACATCTCCATTTAAAAGTACTAAAGCTGGAACTCTGCCTGGAAAAGAATTGCTACTTAGTTTTGAGACACTGGTGTGAGAATCCTAACAGCAAAACTTGTTTCCTGTTAAAAAAAAAAATCATGGAGAAAAAAAAAGGATATTACAGAGAAAAAGTCAAGATACAATGTGCTCAAGTCATTCATTAAAAGATGCACCCAAAAAAGTTCACACAAGTATTCTGAATAAAACAAAAGCAGTGTTCGCACTGCTATCCTAGGATTTCATAACAGGGAGACTGTATCTAACTTTTCAAAGCAAAACAATTAGTTCAACCATTTGGGAGCCCATTTTAAGCACCAAAGTGCTGGTCACCGTATGATACACCTATTCATCATTTCTGCAGGCTACCATAAAACTAGCACATTGACTTCGATTTACATGTAAACTCCACCAGAACTAAAGTTCTCCTGAAAAACAGAGTTAAAGGCAGAGCCTGGGAAGAAAACGAGGACATCAGCTTTTATTTGCTGTTCTGTATTGCACCTTACTGCTTTAATACATCCCTTAATTTCTAGGCTGAGATAAATTGAAAGGGAAATAATCTACTGCATTTTAAACTGTGTAAATTCACTCTTATGGCTTGTTTAGGTGACCTAAATCATAAGTTGCCTCTGCTTGCAGCTTCTCCTGCAAAATCTTGCTTGGTAATGAGGTCATCCTGTTGTACTTTGAAAGCTCTTTGCTCACTTGGTGGTGTAGATGGTAAGGTCTCATCTGTTGGCACACACTCCCATTCACTTTGATGTGAGCTGTGTTTGTGCCACCAGAACAAAACACACCCCCAAGCAACCTCCTTGAAGAAAAGCAACCCAAACTCATGCCTACAATAAACAACTTTTCCTGGAGTTATTTGACTTTGCACTTTAAAGCTGACTTATTCTCATTTCAGGAACTAGCTCATGAACCAAATTTAATTTAATCTTGACTCATTCGATCCTGAGCTTGCCTCTGAGGACAAAAATATGCCAAAAGCAGGAAAAGGAAAAAGAAAAAAGAAGATGCATTTCTGCAGTGCCAAGGGCTACACCAAAGATGACTCTCCCTCCGACGGCACGACTCCGTGTCCCAGAAGCCACACAAATAGGAGCTTCAATAGGAAAAGGCAGGACAATGCCTGCAGAGGTTAACGGGAAGAGCACAAGTCCATACTGCCACCAGCTCTCCACCTCTTCTCCCTCTCATCTAAAGGGGGACAGTGCTCAGAAGCATGTCTCCTCCCTGTCCCTTCTCACAAGGGCAGCCAGCTGCTCTATTTGTGGTGCCCTTGGCCTGCTCAGGTGTACAGGAACACCAGATACCAAATAACACACAAGAGACAAAAAAAGGCATTCTTCATGGTATGCTTAGTAGAACATGAAAACATTGAGTTCCAACACATGGATTTCAAGAGTAAATTTCCACAACTTTTCATCAGAAGAGCACTCAGGTCTTCAGAGATCCTGCGATGGAGGCTAAGAAGGATGCTACCCAGGTCCCATCCTTTCCTGTAGCTCCAGCTCAGGTAACAGTGCTGCCACTTTGTCCCTCTAGATCTGTTTTGATCTTGTCTTATTTATCTTGGCATCAGAAGGGATTTTTCTCACAACGGCACTGGATCATCTCCCTAGAGGGGAAACATGCCACGAGCTGGAAAAGTGAAGTAGCACTCCCAGCTCCATGTGGTGCCAACATCTAAACCAGGAGGCCAATCCTGATGGAGACAGCCCAAGGACAGTTATACAAGTGTGCAAACAAACAGGCCAAGAGAAGCAAGACAGCAAAGCAAAGCGAGGAAACAGAAGGAATGTCAGTGTCAGCACCAAAGCGAGTCAGTTCAAAGTAGGAATGAATTCACAACTGCATTGCTGCAACGCAGATACTTCTTCATTACAGGGTACCTGTAGCTATGTCAGATGCCTCAAAAAAAGGAAAGAGTAAAGAAGAGGCTATATGTAGACACAACACAGTTATTCTGAATAACTTAAGTAGCGCAACACAATGGTCAAGAGTTGACAAGCTCTAGTGTGGAAATCCTTCCAAGTCGGGACTCAAAAAAAAAAAAAAAATCAGAGATGGGCAGTAAAACATGGGCAGTCACCTCCTGTGACACAGCTATATGCGTGACCCCGGTTGGTGACTGACCTTACATTTCATTCTAATACTTTCATTTCATCCTAAACTGTGCCACTGCTTGCTTGGCTTTACACAGGTTGTCAGAGACAGCTGGTGCTCCAGTACAGTTCTCCAGCAGGAGCCGTGTCTGCGTCACATACACACACAGTTACCACCAAGCCTGGATTTATTTCTCAGTTTTGAAGAACTCCCTCTGCCAGGAACATAAAGAAGCACACTAGCATGAAAAAGCCAACCAGAGTCTCAATTCAGACTGAGATCAAAGCACACTGATGGGAGAGTATGACCAGCACTTGCCCTCCTAAACCCCTTCACCAGTGTATTTATTTTGGTAAATACACAGTATACTTTGCTCCTTCAGTTTCCAGTATAAGAGAAATTCGCAATCAGAGGTACGATTGCGAGGCAAAATGAATAATGCCATCGTGATATGGAGACAGAAAATTCAGCAAAATGGAATGGGGAGAGGAGGGAAGAGAAAAAAATATCCCTAAACATGAGTTTCCTCACTAAGTATAACCACATGCTTAACCGAAACAAAACACAAAAGAAAAGCAGTTTTTCTAAGGGATTTTCTTCAAGAAAGTCACAATTTAAAAATATCTCCATAGAACTGTTTTACAAACGAAGCCAGGAACAACCTTCTCTTCCACAATCTGTTCATTGCACTTCTATGCCAACATACTTCCAGAAGAAAAAGCCCAGCCCATACTTTAATTGGCGAATTTGCGTTCAAGGTTATCAGTGATGTCTCAAGTGCTAGAAAATGGCCAAAAGCACATAATGCAGCTTGCTCATCCAAACCATTTAAGTAACATTTCCTACTTCAGACTTCTCCCCTCCTTCGACACCACAAACCTAGGCTGCTCATTAACCAACAAGAAAAGCAAATAAAATCCCTTCTGAAGAATTAGGCTGAAGACCAGCTGTAGTATCCTTTTAAAGTTTACTTTGTAAACTCAGAGATTGTTCCAAATACAAAATCCACAATGGTGCAAGATGAACAAAGACTAATGGTCAGCTATAAAAAAAAACAAGTACAAAAATTAATTTCCTGTGCTGAACGAACAATGATTCTCATTTCTTTAAACCCACCAGTTTTTAGATAGTGACTTATTCAGCTCCAGCAAAGCCAGTATGCTTAAGGTAAGGAATAACACACCACTAACCCTAAGACAAGGGGGGTGCAGTGGGGGAAAGAACTGGGGTTTGGCTGAACAGCTACATCTCCACACTAGGTAACTGCTTCAGTCTATCCAATTCAACACCATGAGCCTTTCAGTGGAAGTATTTGATACCGTACTGGAATCTAACACGACTGCCTTGGTGGTGCTTCGAATCTCATCCCATGCTGGTATGCAGCATGGAAGGAAGGAGCAGCACTGGGGCATCAGACACTGCCACCATGAAAGGCAGGGACCCTGCGGCAGGTACCAAAGGATACAGCTTGGATCTAAAAGATCGTCTTTTATAAAGTCTACTATAAATTTCTATTTGCTATTTACTTATTTTTGGGTGGTTCACAAGAAGCTATTCCTGAATAAAGGCGATTCGTAGCAGTAAACTTATTTCATTATTTAAAAGTGAAATTTACGTAGCAAAGAATCAGGGAAGATTATGATTTCAAAGTCGGTGGCTCAGAAAAAGAGCTTCATCGTTGCCCTGCATACTAAGTAACTAAAATGAGATTTAAAATACAGATTAATAAAACATCTATAATTCAACACCATGCCTGCTTTTCCTGTCAGATGGAAGCCATGATTCTGATATCTTCAATTCTCCCATTGAAAGAAATGATTAAAAAAAAAAAAAAGAAAGAAAAAAATAGATAAAATACTGGAACCAAGTTTTGCCATGTGCACAACTATTAAATAAATAATTATATTATTAAAAACCATTCCACAGACTGGAAAAAAACTAAGTCATCTGATCATCATCTTATATGGTGCAAATTTCACCGACTGAAAAGGAGGTTGTGCAAGATTCAAGGTCTTCTGGGGTTTGGTTTAATCATTCCAGGAAATATTTGGCACAATATTTTGATTACAAAACTCTCCAAATATCATTTGTGAAAGACAGACATCAGTCTCCTGTTAGCTTTTGTTTTGTAACCTTTTTAGCAGTAGCAGATAACCGGGACACATTTCTCCACCAAATTTACCGCTCAATAACAGAAAACTACAGAAGACTTACGTTTAGAATCTGTTGTTGGGAAGAACTGCAAATGCACTTCATGTTAATTATGGCCACTGAAGCCAATGGCGAGATCGATTACTAACAACCCTCTGGTAAAAAATAGGTACCAGTATTTGTTTGTAACAAGGTACCATAACATTTTATAACATCCAATAATCTTTAAATGCCTGTAATGCATGAGTTATCTTTTTTGTATGTACACAGACACACCACAGCCTACATGTTTGTTTTGGCATCTACTTGCCTAAGTGTTGGGGTTTGCTTTTTTTTTTTAATTATTTTTACCTTTTTTTTTGGGGGGGGTGGTGAGCTTGTTTGATTCTTACAGCGTTTGATTTGAACTGCATTAATTATTACAGGCTGCTAGATTACTCTTGTGAAGCAAGCTTAAAAAAGTATAATTAACAAGAGAAGTAGCAGTGTTAGCACAATGGCGTGCAGATGCTACTGAAGGATAAAAATAATTACTTGAGGACTAACAACGTCAAAGTACTTCTGATAAGACTTATTTATTTTTTTAAAAATAACCTTTTGTCCTCTCTGCATTGTGCATACCAGCATGACATAGGAGGTTTTCATTAGGAACCAATCCTCCCTCCCTGCCAGCATACAGCTTTCTACATGACTGCTGGAATGCTATCAAGGCTGGTCTCTTAAAAATAAACGTGATCAGTTCTACAAACACCATTAATTTGGGATGAAAGTTACTTTTCCTCCTTTTAGAGATAATTACTCTGAAAAAGCTCTCTTTGCAGTGTAGTCTTCTGCACTGGGACCTACACTATGCCGTGTATTACCATTAGCCAAGGAACTAATCAAGCAATGGCCTCTCAGGAGTCTTGTACTAAGTTTTTTTCCTTCAGAATTTCCTGTTGGTCACAATGAATGAAATTCCACAGCTGCCTACAACTTCGGGAAGTGCAGTCAAGCACAGGCCTAGAGATACTGGTAAGAATGATGTCATGCGGTGATGTATCTGCCAAATGAGCTCTCTTGCTGAGTGAGGGTAAAGCCCTGACTGCAAAAGCCAGAAACAATAAGGAGAAAATAAAACACTAAGCAGATAAAAGCCCTCTGAGCTAATTATAAGATGAAGTACATTATGAGATGAAGCTTTGCATTTCAGGAAAGGCTTTGGGGTTTTCTTTTCTACCTCCCTTTAACTTCCATAGTGGAAGCTAAGGGCATTCAAAACACTCTGCACCCAGGCATCATTCGAGGTAGTTGTACAAGCTTTCAAGACACATCCACCAGCAAATTAAGGTAGGACAGGTGACGTGTTCACCTGGTCTAGCCTGTCTGCTCCCACTTCTCCACTGCAGGCTCCCACGTAAGGCCTGTGAACAGACTTCTGAACCGTCTCACAGCGTTACCACATCAGGCTGTATCCGAATCGAAACAGCAGTCTCCCAGCCCAACTCATTGTGGAACATGCATCAAGCCCCTAAAATAAGACAAAGCTTGTTCTTCCCGCACTGCAACCATCCAGTAGTCTTTGCAAGGCTGGAGAATTTCAAAAGAGAAATCATTAAAACATGCACAGCAAGAGGACACCATTGCTGACATTCTTCCACTTCTGTGTCTTCACTTTCTACACTTAGCACTGAGAATTCCTCCTTCCTTTCTTCCCACCAGAGGTCTCTACGTATCTTTTCAAGACTAGACAAAGCTGTTGAAAGATCAGGATTTTCCTTGAGAACTGAATTTTAGGGGAGGTTTTAATACATCTGTAGCTAAACGGACTGGTCTCTACAAGACTTATGTCTCAAGATTATGCTTTGCTTTTCAAAAGAAGCTCTAGTCTGGCTTTTCTCGGTTTAAACAAAAAAGAGACAAAGAGAGACACTATGACTATTATACAAGTGTAGTCAGACCTACTGAATCTGCACAGCATCTATGCGCGAGGCCGTGTGCGGAACGCGTAGTATGTGCTGCTGATGACTTGGTTTTCTCAAACCAAACACAAACAAAGTTTGCGGAATGAGTTGGATTAAACAAAGCCCAAGTTCATCCATTATTCAGAACAAGTGACAAGGACAGATTCAGCTTCATTTTTCAAGGAGTTATTGCAGCAAAGAATCTAAAGCAAAACAAACTTGACAGGACTATCTAGCAAAATCTTTTCTTAAAGCTTTTTGCAACAGAATGTTATATTGCAGAATACATAAACTGACCCTAGTCTTCAGAAGTTATGTTCTTGAACATCCTTTTGGCAGGAACAGGAGGATGCCTTGACCAGTCCCTGAATTTTGTCACATCCAGCTGCCCTCCATGTGGAAACTTTGCTTAATCCAATTTAGCCTCACTTGTCCCAAGGAAGGGTTAAGAGTACTGCACCAGAAGGACCAAGTGGATCTCTTATCTCACTCTCCTATAATAATAGACACTCCCCTTAGGCAGGCACTTATTCCACAAGTTTACACTACACATCCTACCACACCAGAGCTTAGAAACGCCTCCCAGTACTCTGTAACAGACAACACCTACAGAAAACAAGAGCTGCTTAAGGCCACCTAAAAGCTTGCTTGTAAAGCCAACCTCCCCACCAAGTCGGTTCAGAGCATTCAAAGCCCACCCCAGGCAGGTTGGGGTTTTGTGCGGGGCTAGCGGGGGCTCAGGCTAACGGAGCCATTCAGACAAAACTTAAATGGAAAGAGCAGAGCATGTCGTTTTATAGCAGAAAGTTCACTGGAGGCTACCATGGGTCAGATCTTTCTCAGATGCATGATTTTCCTTTTTATGTTCTTTTTTCAGAATATTTAGTCTTCTACATATCAACAATAATGAATCAATGTGTTTTTTTAAAAAAGCCTTCAGTTTAGAGCCAGTACGTTGCTCCTCCTGAGCGACACGTGGTGAGAGTGGGCACTACCCAAACCTACTTGGAAAGTCCTCCAGGTCCTGACCCGCGGTAAACTCGCTGTTCTGATCCTCTTCCCTGCAGAGCTGGGGCCTGACAATTGCCAAGCGAATAAACTCCCGCTAGCTAGAAATCAAACTCGTTTTCGCCTCACACGAAACAGTGGCTGTGAAAGCTGGTTTAGCAAGGTGAAGTGCTGGACCACCTATCTGCTGTGAAACCCGAGCGCTGAGTGCAGACCTCTGCATCCAGCCCCCATGTCCTGCACATCCTTAAGCAGACACAACTGACCAGCGTTACCTGCCTCTGCCTTCATGAACGTCCATGTTCACCACGGTGTAAACCAGCAAAACACGGATTAGTGACAGGAACTAGGGAAACACAGTTTTAGCAAACTTGAGCAAGTAAATCAGGAAATTTGAATTCAAATTCCAGCTCCAGTACTCACTGACTATACGGCCTTCAGAAAATTTTCAGACAGACACTGAACAGCATCAAGCCACATTCAATTTCAGTCATGCTCTGTGACCTGCCTATACCTCTAACTATGCACTGAAGTTGTCTCAGCTGAAGACAATGTATCACTGAAGATAATATTCAATTACTGAGGATACCTTCAACTACTGTGTCGTCCCTTCTGATTTTGAAGCACTACAAATGTAAATGTTAGATGTATTCTCACAATAAAAAGCATAAAAAGCGTAACTAAAATAAAACTTTGACTGACAAATGCTGCCTGAAACTTAGCTTCAATCCATCAAAAACAAATGCCCACATTAAACAATACATTTCTGTACTAAAAATATGCAAGAGGCTTGTCAGCACACCATTGTCAATTTTAATCAGACCCCATTACAAAACACATCCTGTTCCATTCTGCATTTTTTTTTTTTTTTCAAATAGCATTTGAACAGAAGGTCCTTCTGTTTTTCAATCTGGAAACAGTAGAGGGGAAAAAAATATTTTTCTGCAATCCCTGCAGAACAGAAGAAAAGTGTGTATCAGTGTTAGAAAATTGAACTACTCACAACAGAATCTTCCTCCTCCGATTCGTCTGAAATAGATTTAAGAGCTGCATGGCCTACTACAAGTAATTAAAGAAGAGGATGATGTTTGCTGTTCTTACTGCCTGAGTGAGTTTCATGTTTACACAGATACAAGAACGGAGGTTTTGACTTCTGTTCCAGAGATTCCAACATCCACATTAGGACTTGGACAAAGTCTCAGGAGTGATAGCATGTTAATGCCTCCATCCTCCTCTCCTTGCAATCCATGGACTCATCCTGAAGAAAATTACAGTTCAGCGTGGGCAGGAGCAGGAGAATCTGGCACCGTGCACCTTTCAAAGCTCCCTTCCAAACCAAGGGCACCAGGGTTTTCTTGTTTTTGTTTCTTAAAGCCATGCTTTGTATCACACAAAGTAACTTCTGTCATTTGAAGATGCACAGAAATTGTGAACATACTAAAAGTTTCTGACTGAGCAGTAAGCATGGAAAGGTATCAGCTTGTAGGGTTTGTCTAGAAGACAAAGTTCACATCGCCTGCTTCAGATGCCCAATATGGAACTGAGATGACTATACCATCAACAGAAAAAGGCCAATACCTACAAAAACAGGTTGCCCAGAGAGGTTGTGGATGCCTCATCCCTGGAAGTGTTCAAGGCCAGGTTGGACAAGGCTTTCAGCAGCCTGATCTAGAGGAAGGTGTCCCTGCCCATGGCAGGGGTGTTGGAACTAGATGATCTTGAAGGTCCCTTCCAACCCTAACCATTCTGTGATTCTACAAAAAACAAACAAGTGCTAAGACACACAATAGTCTGCCTCTTTGATACTCCTAAGCTTGAATAGCTTGAATCTCTAAAGACAGCGCAAACTCTTGATTTACACTCCAAAGAAGATTGTAGCCTAACACTGGGTAGTGTGACACAAGTATATAGGAAGCTAAGGGGCAGATCTATGGTACAGTGTCCATACAGGGAGCAATGTGGGAGAGCTGGTGTGGCACAAACTCATACTTAGTTTTCTAAATGGTGACTTTACTGAGACCTAAATTAATCCATGTTTAGTCTGAGACATGGGTACTCCTGGCTCATGCACAATAGGTTCTCTAATTAAAGGTTCCTCATCTGTCAGCAGCCTCCTTTTGTGATATTAATTTGCAAAAGCAAAGAGAAAAAAAAAAAGAGTGGGGGGAAGTGAAAACATGGCGCGCTGTGCTAGCTCCTTTCCCCTCTCTCTGCCTGAGAGACCAGATTTTGCAAATACTATCAGGTGCTCTCAGCCACAGCCATAACAGGTATGGTGTCAAGAAGTATGAACCCACTTTCGGGGAAGGAGGGCATCGAAAGATGAGCTCTTGAACTGCTTTCTCAGCTGATTCTGGCATTGCCTTGGCTGTATGACCAACTGTAGGATTAGGAATCACCTGCTTTCAGCCAAGTGCCCTGTTTCCAAGAGGAACACTTCTCTTCCTCAATAGCTGAGGCACTGGCGGAGGTAACACACCTTCCTGTCACCTTTCAGGAGCACAAAACTAGAAGATGTTACCGCTGCTGCAACACACTAGCTACTGGAGGCCTCAGAAGCAGTCACAGCTTCAAAACACCATGGAGAAACCTGGGAACCTTGCACTTAAACTTGGGTCTGGATCAAAGTCACACTCTTGCACACTAAGCAAAACAAAAAGCCTCAAAGCCTTTACAGACCTCATCCCATCCAAGCTTAATGAGACCTTCAAAATGTAAACAATGAGTAAGCCAATGTGATAAATTTTGCAGCAGTAAGCCACACGTGGATAGTTTTCAAAATTAAAGCTATTATTTTCTTGCATGTTAAGAAATAAAAATACTAATTACCAGAGTTAGAAAATGTTTGCATATGGTTTCAAAGGAACTGGCACAGACCATTAGAAACTGTCACAATCATTTCCCATGAGACGCCCCATTTCATGTTGGTGGCCTTTTGAGAGCTGTTTTATGACGGAGGTATGGCCATAAGAAGTGAAATTATTTGATCAGTATTTGCAGCTAAATAACTGTTCCAAAGACTGCAAAATTAGAACAACTCCTCTTCCTGCTCAATCTGTTTAATTAAGTTGTTACATCGCTTCCAAGCTGCCTCCTGAAACAGAAGTTAACACTTCTGATTACAGAAGTCAATCTCAAAAGCAACACTGTTTATTTCTATTTATAGATCACCAATTCTTCCCCTAGAATCGTACATACAACATCTAGAAATTTGTATCGTTTTTAGGAAGTTAAACTGGCTGAGCCTTTTAATTAATGCCCTCAAAGGCACACCCCTGGCTCATATCCAGCAACAAGTATTGGCCAAGAAAAAAAATGCATGCTAACTCAGGGATACTCAAGAGACAAAGCAAAACCTCCTGCCAACACTAGGGGCTGTAAACAAAAAATATATATGGTAAACAAAACAGAAAGCAAAAAATTTCCTAACTGAAAGACCTCTAGTTCTATTCTGAAACATAAAAAAAATTATCTTGCAGATTTTAAAAATTGGAAAGTATTTTGACAATACCAAACTTCCTAATTCACTGATACAATTGATGAAATATTTCTATTTCAAGGTCAAATAAAACCTAAAACCAACAACAACTAAGGATCTAAACAGATTTTGCTAATAACTGCTGTTTGGAAGATGCCCAACAGCAATCTGAACTAGACTGCAACTAATTATTTCAATATCAGCTAAGCTGGAAACTAATAGCATATTTAACACAACTGCTTTAAAGCACAGGTTTCAACTGAAAAAGGCAAACAAATAGAACCTACACTACAGCTGAATTCATGCTGATGCTAAAAATGCACAAAGAAATTACATCTTTCAGCCAGTCAGGTTTTTTGTTTGTGGTTGGTTTTGGTTGTTGGGTTTTTTAATATAATTTTCCTATACTGTATTTTTTCTGTTACAACCTGATCTAGCTTTCACTCAAGTCAGACATTCATACAGACAGAGCCCTTAGACCTAGGTCAGCTCTTTGGCTACGCAGGCCGACAGAAGAAGCTGTAGGATGAGAAGCCAGGAGTAGTGGTCCTTCACACTTTTTTTATCAGTATACTGAGCTGTGCCTGTTCTTTGAAAAGCTTACAGCTGCTTACTAACGTTCCAGAGGAGGATGCTCCTAAAGGTACAGAAGATCCTTTGCATCCCCAGAATTTTTTTGAGATATAATCTGTTTAAAATGAACACTGCCTTTTCCTTGCTTACATTCACAACAAAGATGTATAGACAACACCAGTATCAACGGTTTCAAAGTCTTAAGCTGAGGCTTTTTGCCACCTGTCACACGTCAAGTTCAGAATCGGACACTGAACTTGGTGGGCACTACATTGGCTACCATGCTGCCCTCTCCTTTCTTCCTGTGCCATCATGGTTTGTACTTTATGTCAACTTAAAACAGACAGAACCCATACCGCCCCATCCTACAGCGAAATGCCTGCTCACCTTTTAGCCCGATGGCTACTTGAGTTAGCTGATGGATCTTAGTGTGGAGTAGTTGTAAAGTAACATCTGCAGCCACAGAAAAGACTCCTGGACGTTGTCCAGATTTTTTATTAAGTGGATTTGATGTCTTGCAGGCTGGATTCCAGTCTTGTACCATTAAATGAGGCAAAGGGATAACGAGACAGAGCCCCTCTATCCCATAGAGCACACAGCTTAAAAGATTAAGTAATTTTGTCTCACCCTAGATTTCAATTTTACTCTAATTTAAAAATTTTTTTATCTGTAAACACAAATGTGTCTGCCATGAAAAGCAGTTCTCCTCAGAAGGAGGAAGGTGAATAGAAAGTGAAGCTAGGTTGGTTCCTGGAGCAAAATACACTTTTAATTTTGCAAAATGCTGAGAGGCATCCACTCAAAGTAAAAGACAAAGCCTCTCAAACTTACTGCAACACCTAGTTGTGCCAAGAGAAGAATGGTGTCCTTACAGTGAAAGGCAAAAACCTCCTACCAGATTAAGTCCTGCAGGATCCAGCACTAAATGAGGATAAACAGGAAGAAAATCAAGCTTTTAGAAGGATATTACTGTAAATGAAATGAAGTTACTGTGAATTATTAAATTCCAAATCAGAGTTTTAATGCATTTGCCTAGTTAGGGTCAAAGAAGTCTAGTGAATGAAATCCACTCTGTAAACTAACCATCAAGGGAATGGGAATCAATTTTAGCTGCGCAGAGTTCACACAGAGCACTGAGGGGGAAAACCAGTTATGTGCAGTCATCAACACAGACAATAGAGATGCGTGGGCACACAAACTCCTTGGATTCTGCAAAATAAGATTTTCCACATATTTCAGCTTGTTTGATACAAAATGCACTTTTCATCTTTAAAACAAACAAGGCTAAAAAGTTG